AAAGAGAAGATAAATAGGAAGAAACTAAGAATGAGGAGCAATGAAACTGGCAAATGTGTGGGTAAATCTAAATGAAATCTGACTGTATAAAACAAGAATAACAGTGATGTCTTGTTGGGCTATGGCAACGGCAGGGAAGGTGAAAGCAATTAGGATGTTTCAAAGCCCTTGCATTGTCTGGGACCCAATTTACATCAGACTTGGAAAAATCAGGAATGCATGATGTCATTTGTAGGATAATCATTATCAGAGTGTTAAGACAGTGTTTAACTTCCAAAGTAAAAGAGGGAAAAAGTAGACTAATAAATAATGTAAAAGAAGCAAATAAAAGAGAGAAAAAGGAATGTAGAGTAGGAGGGACAAATAAGATGCACATGGTAAGATAGTAGATTAGACCCAATGGCATCAGTAATTATATTAAATGCGAATGACTGAGATTGCCACACTGGATAAAACAAGGAAGAAAAAGATAACTCAGTAGAAAAAAGCTGGACAAGAGCTTTGAAACAACATTCTACAAAAGAAAATATCCCAATGACCAGTAACTGTAAGAAAATGTGCTAAACCTTGTTAATAATCACACCCATTTCATATAGATATTATAAATATCAAATGAGATAATAACATCTAAAATTTTAGCACCAGCCTAGCAACTCAGCAACGTTCAGTGAATGTTCGAGAAAAAAAGAAAGAAAAATCAGCCAGCACTGTTAGAGAAACTGTTCCGGAGTTGGTCACATGTGACTGGACCAGGAAGGTTGAATAATAGCTGACCAGGGAAAGGGGAGAGGGTATTCTAGAGAGATCTAATCAGGAGAGTGATAGGATCAGATCTGGTTTTTAGGAAAACATTTATTTTTGGCCCTGTTGATGATGAACAGGAAGGGGCGAGACTGGGCTCTGTTAGGAGGCTTATTGTGGTAATCTGTTCCTGTGAGTCAGCATTGAAAGATGCAGTTGCTATTCAGTTGAAATTCAGAGATAAGGCCTTTATTACCAAGAATATTTGTACTCATAGAAATATGTGAAAAAATAAATATTCACATATGCATACTGTTGTTATCTCTCTCAAAGTTTTTTTTTTTAGTCTTTGCTTGATAATAAGTAGGTCTTTTAGTAACATTGAGTGAGGGTTTATTTAACCCTATATAACCCGGTTTTGATGGGTGTGATGAGTAAGAGCTCTCTCAACTTTTTATCATTCCCATTGACATAAATACTGAATCCTTGTGGTGTGAAAGCCACAGTTCTATTCCATAAAAAATAAAAAAAAAGAAACACCCAACTTAGGGAGAACTAGAAATAGTTGGCAAAAATTAATGCCTTTTAACTCTCAGCGAAACATATTTTCTATTTTTGAATGTGAAGAAGGTCTCTACCTCAGTGACCTCTCCTATTTATTTGCACTTCTCTTGTAAAATGAATTTGCTTTTTCTTGCATTTTATTTTTTTCATCTGCAAAGTTTTTTAAAAGACCCATTCATATTTCAAGTCTGTCTACTTTTCTTATTTCAAAAACACAGAAATAAAAGAGCTGCTGTTAGGAACCTTTGAAAAGGTCTTTCCTTTCATTTATATTTAGTTGTAAGTAATAATTTTTGTTCTGTGTAAATCACCCGGGGATACTGACGGCAGTAGCAGTGATAGTAGTGGGGCTGGTGGTACTGTTGCTGCTTAGTTTAAGAATGACTGCTGAGATCTGTGTATTTGGTTTTCCATGAGCAAAGTTTGGAAAAATAGACTCATTAGGCATGTTCTGATAAATAAGTTACTCTTTCACACCAGCTTGAGGTCTGTCTGTTTATTAAGGTGTTTCTCAGCCACACTGTTGTACGCAGGGAACTCCCAGTCATTCCTTGCTTTTGCTCATACAAAGTACTTCTGTGCCACATCCTATCTGTAACATCTAAATGCCACCCAGAGCCCTCCTTCCAGTCCCTTGCAATCAGCCACTGGGACTGGAAAGTCTGCCTAGAGAGCAGCTGAGACTGAACCACTGTTCTGTTGATCACATTCATACTCACGTTCTAGCAGCCGTTCTTGAGCGTGTGTCTATGTTCCCTTCAGACATGGACAGCCAGGCTCGCCACATGGCGCTCAGCAGCCTCTTCACGGAAGTCCTAATGATGATGAACAACGCAGCTGTTCCAACAGCAGAGTTCCTCCGGGGCAGCATCCGGACCTGGATTGGCCAAAAAGTGCATGGGCTAGTGGTGCTACCCCTTTTAACCGCTGCCTGCCAGAGCCTGGCTTCCGTCCGCCACATGGCGGAGACCGCAGAAGCCTGCATCACTGCCTACTTCAAAGAAAGTAAGAGGACGTCATCTTATGCTCTCATTATATTGATCTTTTGCAGGCAAGATTAAAGCTGCTTTGTCATTAGGAGATCTTTCCAGACTCTTCCCAATGAGGGATTGTACCATTCTAATTTCTGCTTTGTAAATGGTGTGAGTGCTTCAGAATATATATATCTCTCTTTTTCAGAAAAGATCGCAGTTAGCATGAGAACCTATGGCCTGTGTCTGTTGGTACAGTCACATGTTTCAAGGCAGAAAAGCTCTAACTCATTTTACATTGGTTATAGAGTATCAGACCAACCCGTTATAATAGGCAGATCATGCTATGTCACAGGCCAAGTCATAGTCCTCGAAGAAAAGGCTGTCAACCAGAATCTATATGATAATGTGCCACTAGGTTAATTTTCCCTAATATCCAGATACACATCTCAATTCACAGTGGCAGAGAAAGAAGGGTATTGGAACCAGGATCCAGGAAGTGCCCATAACCTGCCATCCGTCCTGTCCTGACAACCCATGAACAATCCATGTCCACCCGTGAGGTAGAGCTGTGCACGTCACCGTGCCACCACACCCTCACTCCACCTAAAGAGTGGAGAATCATTAGGATAGCACTCCTCTTCCAAATTCATTTATGTTATTAAAAATCAAATGGTTTCTGTCAAGATATGAGTCAACCTAAGCTTTGATAAGTAAAAATACTTAATGATAGACTGAGTGATAACATTTTCCCTTGGAAAAGCTTAAGCGTTCATACATACTTAAAAATGGTATTAAAATTAAAACTCTCAGATGACTGAGACAGGCAGTATCTACATGAGATTTTAATAATATAATAAGAAAGGTGATTTATAAACATGCATCCCAGAACTCTGATTTCTTAACCTCCGCTAGTGGCTAGCTTGGGGACAGGCATCTAGCACGAGGGCTTTCCAATATAAGCCCTGGGGTCATTTCACTTGTGTGGCCTTCAGGGCCAACGTGAGAAATGTGGTCTTGACCTAAAGCTTAAAAGTAAAAAGACTCATTAGACTTGTTAAGTCGTTTGATTCCTGTTTATATCTTGATGTCTTCTCTTGGCGTTCTGTTCTCAGGCTCCCTCAATCAAAATTTAGGATGGGGCCCCATTCTGGTGTCCCTTCAAGTTCCTGAGCTCACCATGGAAGAATTTCTGCAGGAGTGCCTAGCTCTCGGCAGTTACTTGACGCTTTATGTCTACCTGCTTCAGTGTTTAAATAGCGAACAAACTCTAAGGAACGAAATGAAAGTGCTCCTTATCTTAAGCAAGTGGTTGGAACAGGTGTATCCAGGGTACGTTTGGCCCTCTGGCTGTTGTATCAAACTCGTATTTGGTTAACTTGGAATTTAGAGTTTATGTGTGTGTTTAAGTCTACACACACAAAAAAGGGATGCGTAAAAAACAAGGCTGTGAGGTACAGTGACACTTGTTTTGGAAAGGTTCTGCCTCTGATGCCTTCGATGGGCTAATTTTCTAAGCAAGTTTTTTATTTCCGAAAACCAGCATTTTGAAACACTGAGCTTCAGCTTCCTTACCAGTTGAGATGATAATCCCTACCTTAAAGGGCTGTTCTGAGGACTAAGTGGAAGAACATAAAGCCCACTACTTTTTAACATTATCACCCATTAGCCTAAGCTTACAAAGTACTAAATGTCCGTTATACTTAAAACTCAAATGTAGACTTTCAGTTAAATGAGAGTGGAAAAAAAATCCACTTCTAATTTTATTTTCCTCTGCTGTCTCCCCCAGCTCCGTGCAGGAAGAGGCGAAGCTATTTTTGTGGTGGCACCAAGTCCTGCAGCTGTCCCTGATCCAGATGGAGCAGAATGACTCCGTCCTGACGGAATCTGTCATTCGAATCCTGCTCATGCTTCAGAGCAGGCAGAGCCTTGTGGCAGAGGAGAGGCTCAGCTCTGGGATCCTGGGGGCAATCGGGCTGGGCCGGAAGTCGCCCTTGTCTAACAGGTAAGGAAGCGTCGACCGCTGCTGTTCTAAATGGGCTTCAGACATATGCACCTGCGTTCAAGTTGTGATACTTTAGTAGGTTTCTCAACTTAGGATCTAGGTTTTCCAGAAAGATTAATGGGAAAAAAAAACCAGAGTCTGATTGCATCTTTCCATTCTGAAAAGCATGTTTGTTTTTTCTTACCTTTTAAAAAAACCCTTCAAGTTCAAACAGTATTTTTTTAATAGTATCTCTTGTATTTTGACCCCATAACCTGACTGCTGATTTCTTCTTCCATAACCTACTGATTTCTTTTTGGTTTTGAGCCAGTGATGATATGCGGAGTTAGGTTAAAATCCCCCAGTCACCTGCTTTCTTGCAGGCACTGGATGAGCTCAGGGAGATGCAGAACCTGTGAGGGGCTTAATCTGGTGAACTGTCAAGGCATCAAGATGGGTTGAGGTCAGTGGGTAAGAAGGATAAGTAAGAAGGATGAGTAATGAGAAGCAGGTCTAGGTTTTTGTTGCTAAAAATCCCAAGGCACAAAAGAATTTGCCATTCGCTTCCCATGTAATCTCATAATGCTTACTTACTGCATGGTTTTCTTCTCAAGCCCATGTCAATGTTGAAGAGAGTCGGAATACCACGCTGATGTCAGCATCCTTGTGGAATAGCCCATCATGTTGTTGTAACTTTGGGAACCACTCATTCCAAACCAGTTAACATCATGTTTCTTTGTTTTCGTAGAATTTAGCAAGACTCTGTGATTTTGTTTCACTTAAATTTGGCTGTGTATCTTTTGCTCGAATCAAGTGCTTTTATTATTTTTTTATTGTGGTAAAATGCATAGAACTTAAAACTTTCCAAGGCCACCACTTTAATAAGCACAATTCAGTGACATTTAGTACATTCCTAGTATTGTTGCAGCCATCACCACAATCTAGTTTCAGAATGTTTTCATCAGCCTGAAAGGAAGCCCTGTACCCATTAAATAGTCACCTCCATTCTCTTCAGCCCCCAATCTCTGGTGACCACTAATTGACATTATAAGTTTATGCATTAAATACTACTTTGGACATTTCATATAAATGGAATCATATCATTGTGGCCTCTTATGTCTGACTTATGTAACATAAAGTTTATCCAAATTGTAGCATGTGTAAGAATTTCATTCCTTTTTATGGCTGAATAATTTTCCATTGTATACCATGCTTTGCACATTTTGTTTATCCATTCATCAGCTCATGGGCATTTGGATTATTTCAACCTTTTGGCTGTTAAGGGCAATGCTGCTATGAACATTTGTGTATGAGTTTTTGTTAGAACATCTGCTTTCAGTTTTTTGGGTATATACCCAGGAGTGGAATTGCTGGGTCATATGGTAGCTCTATGTTTCACTTATTGAGCAACTGCCAAGCTGTCTTCCGCAGCATTTACATTTCCACCAGCAATGTATGAAGGTTCCATTTATTTCACATCTTTGCCAATGCTTCCATTCTCGAATCTGAATTACGCATATGTTTTTTATATGGTAATAATAGAAGGGAAGATGAAAGCTCCTTCTTGATCATATTTAAGATTTTTCTGAAGAGACTAATAACACAGTAGATCTGGAAGTATGTTTATCTTGTTTTTTAATAGAAAATACGGTATTTGTTTAAAAATACTTACTTTAATAGTCATGTACTTCCTCCGACCTCTCCCTAATGCCCAAGGTTCCGTGTGGTTGCCCGAGGCATGGCTGCCTTCCTTTCAGTTCAGGTTCCTGCAGAAGATCAGATCCGTTTGAAGCCTGGCTCTGAGTTACATCTGACCCCAAAAGCTCAGCAGGTCAGTATTTATAGAGAAGGGTTAGTGGTTTTCCAGCACGTCTTTCCCAGAAGGTGGGGAGGTGGCAGCTCTGGCCTGTACACACCGTGACGTGATGCCCTGCAGTGGTGCAGCGTTCCTTCTTGTGTGCCCCGCTGAGTGGAAAATGGCTATGTGTGCCCACCTCAGATTCTAGACCAGTCTTTGTAAGCACTTGCCTAGAGCACTCTTACTGCTATGGGCAAGCCAGTCTAGAACTGAATTTGGTCCTGATGAGTGTGAATAGGCACTGACCTGCCACATGCCGGGGCTGGCTTAACAGATGCGGCCACAGTTGAGATGGTTGTGAATTAGCTGAGCTTTAACTGGGAACCAAGGAACTGGTTCCTGTTTTGTGATTCTGAAGGTTGATCACTGTTGGCAGATGCTGGACTAACCTAACGGAGAGAGAATGGTAGCTGTGACAAATCACAGTTTGTTCCAAAAACATGGAAGGTCACGTGGCAGTGGCCCCATTCCTATAACCTGTAAACAAGCTGGCCAGGTACAAAGGTGTGCAGTATGAAATGATGGCCGAGTGCTTCCTACATGCCAGGCACTGTTCTAAGTTTTAACTCAATGAGTTACAGTTTTAACTCATTTAATCCTCATAACAACCCTATAGCACAGAAGCTATTATTATCCTGATTTTGTGGATAAGGAAACAGAGAGGCTAAGTAATTTTCCCCAAATCACACAGTTAGTACATGTTGGGGCTGGGATTCACACCAGCCAGTCCGGCTCCAGGCTTTTCCCCCTCACCACTTTGCATGGCTGTCTCTGTACACGTAAGTGTCTGGACCCCTCAGCTCCTCTCCTGTGCGGGTTTATGGTGTCTAAGCCAGCCACATGCAGTGTGAGATCTTGGTTATTAAGAGCAAGGATCAGAGAGTAAATTGGCATGTTCTTCACAGGGATCTTGGCCTATAAAAAACCTCATATTTGTCACCCCTGTTCACCAACTGCCGTTCGAATCCCCCGTTGTCTTCTGTGAGATATCACAAGTGAGCATGAGTCTTTGAGGGCAGGTTGTAGAGTCAGTGAGATGCGCTGCAGGGTATATTTGACAACTCTTAACTCTTTTGTGACCACTGGTACTTGCAGCATCAGTACTTTGCTTTAGCTGGGGCGGGTCACCAAGGCCTCACCTCTCTTTGCCCACATTCCTTTAGACTTAAACTGATGGCTCCGTGCATGCCCCTACTTGTCATCAGGATTTTCAGATTTGAAAAAAGCCATCTTTTTACAAAATGATTAATCTTAGGCAGACTGTCAAAGTAGACCATTTGGGTGGCTAAATTTAAAAATAGAAAGGGAGAGGAGAGAGACAGGACACTGCAGTTCATGGGAGTGCCTGTCTTCATCGATTCCTATTCTTAGATTGAACTCTGTTCACACAGCTCTTAGCTTGATACCTAAATCCCTTCAGTTGTTTATTTTCGACCCTAAGACTTCCATCTACAGCCCACCTGGCAATTTATTTCTAAGCTTCCAGTTCCTTTACCATCCTCAAAAAAATCTCTAAAGAAACTAAAAGAAAAAAAAAAATCCCTCCTCGTTTTCTGAACCAAGCAAATTCCATCTTTTAATATATATTCTCTAGCGAGGTGATTCCCATAGATGGGACAGGAAGGGAGAGGGGAACTCCGCGGTGGTGGGTATGTCACCTTGAGGAAGGGCCTGTGGTCAGGGCCTTGGGGTGGGGGAGCTTACGCACTTGGAAAGCAAAACTCCCCACCCCAAGAACTGCTACTGTTGTGACTTTTTGTTTTCTCCATATACAGTCTCTTCTCCTTCTCTTCTCCTACTATGAAGGAAGGAAAAATTAAAATTATGGAGTCGAGGAATGTATTTTTTCTTCCTCTGAAGAGAGGCGGGGGAGGCTTTTCTTCCACTGATTCTGGGCCATTTGTCAGACGGAATCGGGAGGAACTTGATCTGTACTTTATGTTTCTTGGCCGATTTAATGATCTGTCATTTACCTTCAGCAGCACTTAGCAACTGGTTTCTTTAGAATTTCATTCAGTTAGACAGTTTAATGTGACATTATTTTGTAACCTAGGAACAAATCCCACAGCATATTAAACAGGTCTCACCTTAGCAAGGTGCAGCTGGTGCCTGTGATTTCCAGTTGGGCTCCAGGAAAAGAGGAAGCAGATGATGTGGTGGGGAGGATCCCGCAGGTGGTACTGGGGAGAACTGCGACAGGGCAGGCTGCAGTAGTGGGTGTGGCAGGTGAGGTGTCCAGCAGTGAGACCAGCCTGCTGCAGCAGCGGCTATTGGTAAGGAAGCCTTGGGAAATAGCAGGGAACAGGAAGAAGGAAGGCTGGGCATGGGAGGCTGCAAAAGCCAGAGGGGCTGGCGTTGCTGGACACCTTCTGCTGTGGTTAATCACTGCCTGCCTTCCAGATCCGAACCTCAGTTCTGTAGGCTTCCGTCCCTTTAGGCTCACAGCTGAACCGGGTAGTAATAGTAGGTGTGCTCCACCTGTGGCAGTCAGGTTACATGCATCTGTGAAGTTAACCCTCTGTCTTCTGTGTCTTTTAGGCTCTGAATGCTCTTGAGTCCATGACATTGAGTAAGCAGTATGTTGAGTACCAGGATCAGATATCACAAGCCGCCCAGTTTATAAAGCATCCTGGCCATTGCCTCCAAGATGGGAAGATCTTCCTGGCTCTTCTCGTTAACTGTTTGTATCCAGAAGTGCATTATTTGGACAACATACGATAGTGATCCTGAGGCTCTTGAAACCCCCCTTGCTGTTTATGTTTACATTTAACTTTGCTGTTGCACAAGTAACTTTGCTCAGTTTCACCGCAGAGCTCCGTTTGGCCAACGAGTAGTTGACTGAGATGCAAGTCTGGAGGCGTTAGATAATTCTGTGTGGTGTGTGTATGTTTTCTTACCTCTTAAAACTTTGTGGGGACTTTGCAGTTTTTATGTTCATCCACAGGAGAAACTTACTGAGTTCCACTTGGGTACAGAGCCACTCACAGTTGCCAAATGTCCCAGTCATCTCACAAGAGCCCCAGATGGAGTTCTCTGTCTGTCTCCCTGCCTGTCTCCCCTTTTTATTTAAATGTTAAGACTCCTGTCCAGATCTGACGACTTTGGGAGTCATGTAGAACCCTCACTTTTGAACCCTGTTGGTGTCCCTCCAAAGTAAAAAAGTCAACTTTGACAATTTCTGCATTTCTCAGATGTGGAGAAATACACTAGCTTTAACGTATTATTTCTCTCAGAAAGGAGATAAGTGAGTCCTGTGTACAATATGATCCCTTGATCCTGGTCACAGTGGATAGCAGAGATGGTGACAAGTCCATTTCCATCCAGTCACGTGTCCTCATGGAGAAGGAGCCACCTATCTGGATTGGGGGTGCCAGCTGGGCGGGCTGGGATCAGCGTGCTTTGCACGGGTGGCTCTGTTTGGTCCCTGTGGTGGGGCGTACAGGCAGGGCTGACTCTCCCCAGTGACAGTCCCTGCATTCCCTCCGGTGCTTCCCCCAGCCTCACTCACATCACCTTCTCAGCCCTGTGGACATGACTGTCTGTTCCCTGCTTGTGTTTTCACTCCACATTTAAACTCAGATGAAGCTCCTGGACCTGCCGAGATACTTGTCCTTGGACACGGGGCCAGGTCAGGAGAACTACGGAAGTTTGGCTTTTTTTCAGTAGCCACGTGCCTTCTGTTAACAGTCCGTTCATTACCAAAGCCTGTGTGTAACGTTGCCTTGTTCTGTTGCCATCTTCTTGCTCATGTTATTTCCCCCAGGAATTAGCAATTTGACTTCTGTCGTCATATGCATAATTCTGTCACCTCAAAATGGATTTGGTTTGTACAACTTGCATACTGTGTCTTTGTTTACAGCTTGTCTATAACCGAGGAATATTTATTTAAAAATGTCTAAACAGCCACCAAGAGCTTTTAGTAGGGGGATATGGATATAGTTAACGGTGATAATCTCTTCTCAAATGTCCTTTTGGAATGCTTCCCCCAACATTTGGAAGTCTGTAGGTACCCCTTTTTATTCCGAACTTCTTTTTTGTTGTTGTTGTGACAGAGTCTTGCTCTGTTGCCCAGGCTCGAGTGCACTGGCGTCAGCCTAGCTCGCAGCAATCTCAAACTCCTGGGCTCAAGCGATCCTCCTGCCTCTATTCCGAACTTCTTTAGTTGGACAGAACAATTCTGCCTCACAGACGAGCTTTGGAGCTCTGACAGAGAACATCCCTGTTCAGTGTCTGAGTTTTATAGGCCACAAAGTGTCCATCTCAGAGGGACATGTCTCAGCTTCCCTTGTCTTCGCTTCCCTCCATCTTCCAAATCAGTTACCTTGTTCTGTGTATAAGAAAAGTTTAGAAGCTGTGGACAGCTTAATTGGCTGATTTGGCAACAATGATTTTGTGACAGGAAATATTTTATGTGGTGTTTTCTTTGAGGAGGTTGTAATTATTGATATCCTAGAATGTGAAATTTTTGATAGTATATACATTTTAAAGAATAATGATTAATCTGTTAATTTTTGAAAGTTTATAACATAATGTATTTGGTCTGTAAAAATTATAAAAATAAAATCAATCTTTGGTTGTGACTGATAAGAATCCAAATTATAGAGATATTGCACTATCTGGTAAAGTATTTCACTTGTTAAAGGTGATATTGATTTTTATGCCTCATGTCATCCGATTTATTGATATTGTAACTTGATTATCAGAGGTGGTCCGTAAAAGTACTCCGTCTTTAACTCCCTCATGCTTAATGTCAGGAGGTTGACTCAACTCATAGGTTCCCGTGAGAAAATCTGGGCTAAGAGTAAAGAAACCCAGGCAGTTCAGAATACTGCCATGCTGCTGTGGCCTCCTGGGGAAAAGGCAGCAGATAGACCAGGCTGCCCATCGGCTTGCAGGGGTAATGAGCCTCTGCTTGAAAAACTGTTGGCCTCCAGGGAGCGCAGGGTCACAGTTTTAGATACAGTGACGGGTGCTACACATCGGTACTGGGATCAAGCAAGACCACGGCCAGCCTCCTTGTAAGGATGCCTGACAGCTTCCTGGGAGCAGGAGGACGCAGTGTTCTGGCGGCCATGAAAAGCATCTCTCAGCTTCTCTGTTCATCGATACCCACCCTGCGATGCACAGGTGGGTCAGAGAGGCATCACATCCCCAAACTGCGTCGCTGCACCGCCTAACTAGAGCAGTGAAGGGCACAACGCTGGAAGGCACAGGATGCGTCTGCGCGGCGTGATGGTGGCAATGGGGCCGGGCCCCTCCTGCACGTGTTTCCAAAGCTCCTGCACACACAGGATCTGAACTCCGAGGCACGACTTGTTTCTTAATCTCACCATCAGTGTGCTGGCTCAGTCATCGAATGCTTCTGCTGCCCTGGGCTTGTGCCCGAGTCTCTCAGTTCTTTGAGGTTGGGGGAAGAAGCTTAGTCCAGAAAATGAGAACCCACAGACCAACCTAACCTCCCTTCAACCAAGTGACAGCCTCCTTGTTCCTCCCAGTCAGTCACCAAAATCGTTGTATCCGTGTCATACAAGTTATGAGTGAACCTGTCCGCCTTCCTTTGAATGAAGGTGATGTACAGGTTTTCATTTGGTTTTTATTTTTTTGTGAAGTCTCACTCCGTCAAAGCTGGAGGGCGGTGGCATGTGCGTAGCTGACTGCAGCCCCGAGCTCCTGGCCGCACGCAGTTCTCCCAGCTGAGCCTCCCTCGTAGCCTGGGACTACAGGTGTGAGCCGTCATGGCCGGCCCTCATTGATTTTTTATTCCTAAAATTAATTTATTTCTTCCGGAGCAGGAAGCAAATATCCTGGAATCGTAGACTTTTAAAGTCAGAAGGATTGTGAAAGTTCACCCACTCCCACCACTCACTCAGCCAGGCTCTTCCAGCCTCTCCCCTGCCCCATCCCCTGCCTGGCAGTTCAGCCCCTGCCGGGCAAGCCCAGGCTGCCACTGGTGGCTCTTTCCATAGTTCTGCTTTGTGCTGACCCAGATGCCTCCTGGTGGTGTTGCCTGTTTCTCAGGGTCCTGCCTGGAGCAGTCCAGGCTGGGGCTGCTCTCTTGTCCCCCCACTGCACAGACCTTCAGACATTGTCGGTCACATCTCTGACACCCCCACCTCTTAGTCATCCTCTGCAGGTTAAATACCCGTTTCTTTAGTCCCCTCCCACCACGATGTCTAACAGGGCTGCATTTGGGGGGCAGTGCCCAAACTCATCCATGTTATCCTGACAGGGCTGTGCCCAGGATTGGCGGGACCACAAGAGCGTGCTTCCTTGAATTTTATGGCCCTGGTGCCTCCCTTGCCTCATCCCAACCCCTGCCCTGGATTAGGGTCACACCAGTGTGCCCCAAGCAATGTAGTTCCCTCCCCTGGACACTTGGGCGGCGCCAGCTTTTCAGTAGTTGTGTCCCGTGGTCGGCACATTAAACCAGTGGCAAGTTCAAACTGCAGGCCTCGGTCGTCGCCCAAGACTGGTCTCATCCCACATCTGTGGGACAGGTATGACCATAAGCCACTTTGCACTTAATCCTTCACTGTTCTTCTCTCCATTTGGGCCAACTTTCCAGCTATTTTAAGATAGTTATCTGATCATTTTTCTGATCCGTTAACATGTTATTAAGCAAGATGGAGAATATAATATTGGGAAATCAGCATGTTGCTTTAAAAAAAAAAGCGTCCCCTTCTGTGTTCTCCCACTTATCTCTGGGTTGTGCTGCATAAAGTTCTAGACTTACCAATGCTGACCTCCTTCTGGTCCACGGTGATACTTGTGTGTTTCAGAGCAGGCCTCAGGCATCCGGTGTCCTGGAGCAGCTGTGTTCAAAGTTTCCTTCACTCTGGGTAGGTTCCTGATTCCTGATGACAATGACTCGAAAAGAAAATTATACTGCTGATCCCATTTTGAGATAATGAAATTGCTATGAAATGTTGATTATAACTTTTATTTTTTAATGTACAGATGTAATACCTCTCACTGGGCACCAAGAGAATTTATTTTTCTTTCTGTGGTTTAAAATCACTTATGTGGAAACAAATACTTCTTAAGTGTATTAAACTCTTTTCCTTCCCACATGTCTGGTGTGACTTTTAAAAACCACAACTGAATTATGGTCATTAAATGTGCACTGTTCACTTATTCATTGTTCAGTATTTTACATGCTCATACAAAGGATGAGTTTTATATAATGGTGAGAAACAGGAAGAAATGAGAATTGGTTAAGTAAACTTCTTCAAATAAACTAGATTCAAATTTAATTGACATATGGTGGGCCTCTCTCATTGTTTTTGGCAAGTTGGTTAGCAGGTCTTATTTTCATACATAAATCACACTAAGAAAAATTTTTTTTTTTTTTTGAGACAGAGTCTCACTGTCTTGCCCGGGCTAGAGTGCCGTGGCATCATCATAGCTCACAGCAACCTCAAACTCCTGGGCTCAAGCGATCCTCCTGCCTCAGCCTCCCGAGTAGCTGGGACTACAGGCACACGCCACCATGCCCGGCTAATTTTTTTCTATATATTTTTAGCTGTCCGATTAATTTCTTTCTATTTTTGGTAGAGACGGGGTCTCGCTCTTGCTCAGGCTGGTCTCGAACTCCTGAGCTCAAACGATCCGCCCGCCTCGGCCTCCCAGAGTGCTAGGATTACAGGCGTGAGCCACCGCGCCCAGCCTAAGAAAAATTTTGAATTAGAAAGCTCGTAATGGGTAGAATCTTTAGTCTGTGACCTTTCGCCACAGTGGGTGAGGCCTCTAATTTCACAGAGAATGCATAACTTGGGGGCAGTGGTCCCCAACCTTTTTGGCACCAGGGACCGAGTTCATGGAAGACAGTGTTTCCATGGACTGAGGACGGGTGTGGAGCTCAGGCGGTGATGCGAGCTGTTGTAAATACAGATGAAGTTTCACTCGCTTTGCAACCTGGTCCCTAACAGGCCGGGGACTGGTACCAGGAGTTCGGGACCACAGACTTGGGGGCTTAAGAATTGGCATGGACAGGAGGTTGCCTGGTGATCCCAGAGAGGTCAGGTGAGCCCCTTGAGAGTCTGTATTGTGGCCTTGAGCTTGGTAGGAGGAGGGCCATAAAAGCTGCACGAAAGGCTCCCAAGGCCTGAGTTGTGAGGAGGTGGGGGTGGAGGTGCCTCTGGGAGGCCAGAGCTGCCAGGGGAGGGCAGTGTAACCCTAGCTCTGTCGTGGTCTGCTGGGGAAAGCCACCTGCAGCATGGGAATGCCAGGGAGTTCCTCTGTAGTGTCAGGGGCACCTTGAGTCCGTGGTGGTGTGGTAGGAGGGTCTGCACATTCACCAGTTTGGGATTCTGCTGGGACAGGACCTTCTGGGAGTGGGGTGTGTCTCCCCCTCCCTTGCCTGGGCTTGGCTTCTTTTTCCCAATGGAATCACAGAATTTAAGGGTTGGAAAGTGGCTTAGAGACAAGTTGTCCCACCTTCTAGTGTAGCAATCAAGTTAACCATCTCCAGACCAGTGGGCATCTTTGTGGGGACGCTCCCTGAAAGAAACGCTGCTTGGAAAGGGTCCATGCCACCATGGGGCAGCTCAGAAAAGGTCTTCCTCCAAAAATACTCCTCCTCTGAAGACAGCCCTCTTCCCTCTTGGTCTTCCTTTCTAGCCTAAACATTTTTTTAGGAAACAGACCCACTTTCCTGATCTTTTGGTCAGAGTGGACCAAGATGGGCTCTGACCTAGACACTGTATTTTAATATAGTCTAAATTTGTGGCTTAGACCAGATTTACCTTGCAATCCCCAGCTTGCCCTGGTTGGCCTGCTCTGGGCCACTTCCTCCTTAATCAGTATTTCTTAGGGCCTTTCCCTCTAATCCCCTCCTCCCCCCGCGGTCACAGCCAGACCCCGCTGCTGCCTCTGGTCAGGGTGTGGAGGTGAGTTTCTCCACAGGGGCTCTCCTGGGCAACCTGCAGCCCTGGGGGCCCTTCAAGGTCACTGGCGCAGGACTTGGGGACAGGCTATGGAGGAGGAAGGTCTGGAATCCCAAAGCCCAAACCCTGGAAAACCCAGAGAGTCCCAATCCCAAATAATTTTGTGTCCTTGTATTGGCA